GACACAAACATCACCCAGCCCTGGATCAGGGGTATGGGCACCAGGGAGGACGCGATCAGGATCCATACCAGGCCCCCGAAGATCTGCAGAGAGGAGCAAGAGTGGGGTCAGACCAGAGGGCTACACAGCCCCCAGGGCACAGCCGCAGGGGGGCTCTGGGGGTGCAGAAACACAGGAAGGAGACCAAGACAACTGGGTGGGCATATTCCTTGCCAAAAAATGACCCTTTCATCCCCCAAAGTCCTGGACTAGGTCTCCAACCTCAGTCTTTTCAGTCACCCTCAATATGGCTTTCCTTTATTTTTTTAAAATACAGTTTAATTTTTTTTTAGTAGTAAGCCTTATATCACATTAACAGGCCCGGCATCGTCAGACACACTTGACAAATATTAGCTCAGTTAGCTCTCACAACAACACTGGTGGAGGAAGACCCATGTAGAGAGGACATGGACATAATTTGTCATTTCTAAAAAGAACTTAACATCATTCAGCACTGTCACGAGAAGGCTGTCCTGAGAGTCTGTCCTCACTTACATGGCTATGAAAATGTCCTTTCTTTTATGAAATACTTACAATCAGTCGATTCTTCTGATCTTGGCAAAGCAAATCAGCTGCACTATGTTACTGGGTTTTGTTGTTGTTTTGTTTTAAGATTTGACCCCTTCCACCTCCAAGTTCAGGAAGTGCTCTGTTGGAGCTGGGGTTGGAATGGAGAGGGTCCAGTTCAGTCCTGTCTCCTTGGATGGCCAAGGACAGGTGTAAAGGCTGCACACTCTGAGGTTAGCCAGGGGGCACCCCAGCTGATGTCCCCGGGGTCGGTGAGCTGTCTTCAGAAGGGAGCACGGGGACAGAGCAGAGGCCCTAACATCCTCAGTGACCCCACGCTGGGGCTGCCTCTACCTCTCCTTGATCCTCTTTACCCCAGTGGCCATCAGCCCAGCCTCATCCGCCTGACTCCCTCCAGGTGAGGCCTGGACTAGGACACGGTGGGGGTGGCTCTGGAGGTGGAGGTCTCCAAGGACCTGCGGAGTGTGGCACCGTCTCAGCACCCGGGCCGAGTTCCCAGTCCTCCATCCCCTGCAGTGACAACCCACATGGTGCCTTGACCCCATCTTGTGGACCTGCTGCCCACCTGCTAGGTAAGAGGTACCACCGTCTCCACAGTGTCCTCCGAGCCTCTTGGCTGGGGATCATCAGGGACAGTCACATTGGGTAGAAAAATCAGTGCAATAAAGTATCTGGGTTCATCAACACGAAGTTGTTCTGAATGAACCAGATGTGGGCGTCCCCCTCCCTGATGACACGCAGCAGGGCCAGTGGCACACACTGGACACCCTAAAAAATGAAAGTCCACTGGGCATGGTGGCACATGCTAGTAATCCCAGTGGCTCGGGAGGCGGAGGCAGGAGGATCATGATGAATTCAGAGCCATCCTCAGCAGTGGCGAGGTGCTAAGCAACTCAGTGAGACCTGTCTCTAAATAAAAATACAGACAGGGCTGAGATGGGGCTCAGGGGTCGAGTGCCTCTGGGTTCAACCCTGGTAACTCCCCACAAAGAAGTGAGAATCCTCCAACCACCTGGGAGAGGGTGTGTGCAGTTTTTTTATCATTGTGTTGAAGATCGACCAGACGACTCGGCCTCTTCCTCAAAGGCACTGACCCAGGGACATGAGCAGGTCAATGGGTGTGCAGGACAGGGATGAGGAGGAGAGGGAGGAAGGCATGGAGGAAGGAGAGTTGGTCAGGCATGTCCAGCTTGTGGGCAGAGAGAGGCATCGGCCTGGGACCCCCTCTAGTTCTGGTCACCTGTGCCCATCTGAGGAGCTGGATCTAAGGTTCCTTGTCCATATGCTCCCGGGGGTCCTGCACATCTCCTCGGGCCTCAGCTTGAGCAGAAGTGTACCTGGTTGGTGGTGACATGGCCCTTTCCCCAACCAGGGGATGGTGGGAAGGAAGTCCCCCTTGCATGTAGCTGCTGACTCCTGGGGGCCCTAGGAGAACCACTGGCTATTCCTCCTGGGTTAATGGGCCTCGGTGTTCTGGTGAGTGGTCACAGCTAGACTCAAGTGCCTCATGAACTATAACCCCCGAAGGAGCACCTTGGGTCACCCATGGTGGGCGAGCACTCCTTTATGGACCTGTGGGACCCTTGGGACTGAGGTGCTCATGGTGGCCAGTGGACTTGGCATTGAGGAACACTGTCGCTCTCTGGGGGTTTTCTGATTCACGTAAGAAGGATGCAGCGTGGAGCTGGGTGCCTGGGCTTCCCCTGAAGCACCGGCAGGCAAAGATGAATTGGATCGTGGCTTGTTTTTATGTTTATGGTGGCAATATTGTAATTGTGGCTGAATCAACTGTAAAATACGTTCAAGGTCACTTGGCCCCCAGGTGGCACCTGGAAACGGCACAGTCGGAAAGGGCACTCAGCTCCTGGTGTGCAGAGTCAATTCAATTCACCTCTTACAACCAGATTCTTCCCTGTGTGGCCTGAGGTAGGAATGGGGGTCGGCAGTCAAGGGCAGGACAAATGCCTGGAGATCAGAGCGGGGGCCCTGCTCCACGTGCTCACCCAGGTCTCACACATGCTGGTCGCCAGCTCTGGCTCTGAGCTTCCAGCAGCCACACAGAAGGAACTTGGGGATGGAGCCAGACCTGCCTTGGGTCTGCTTCCCAGCCTGGCAAAGGCGATGTCCCAGCCTCCTGGGGAATGCACCGTCCCTGTCACTCCAGCTCTCTCTCTCTCTCTTGCACACAGATGCAAGATCCTGGAATCCACGATCTGAACCTCTGTCCACAGCTGTCCATAGACCAAAGCCCAGATTGGGCTCAGCCCCAGCCCCCAGCCCCTGGGCAGACCACAGGACTCTACCCTACCTCATTTAACAAATGGGCCCTTATAGATTGGGTTTTTCCTTTGCATGGTTTATCTATAGTAGGTTTCATAGTAAGAGTGTGAAAGAAAGTTTCTCTCTTTTTTTTGAGGGGGGTACTGGGGATTGAACTTGGGGGCACTTGACCACAGAGCCACATCCCCAGCCCTATTTTGTATTTTATTTGGAGACAGGGCCTCATGGAGTTGATCAGCGCCTCACTTTTGTTGAGGCTGGCTTTGAACAATTGATCCTCTTGCCTCAGCCTCCCGAGCTGCTGGGATTACAGGCAGGTGCCACCACGCCTGGCAAAAGTCACTTTCTTTAGATAGCTTTAAAGAGACGAGTTTTGCATACGGCAGGGCCCACCCATTACAGGTGTCCAGGTCAGTGGGCTTCACACAGCCAGATACACGCAGCCTGGGCTGCCCTGTGTCTCCCTAAGCAGCTACTAATCTGCCTTCTGTCTATAGAGTTCGCTATTCTGAACTTTTGCACGAGCGGAATCACAGGGGAACATCTTGCAGGTCATCCTTTGTGCCCTTCACTGCCCTGGCCAGAAGGTGCCCAGGGTATGGACAGCTGGCCAGCCACTGCCACAGGGTGGAGCTCAGGGACCAGAGGGGCGAGGGCAGAACAGCCTGAGGGGAGTAGCAGGAGGAAGGCAGCAGGCGAGGCAGGGCCCAGGAGAGGCCTCCGTGCCCTTCTTCATCCCTCTGCTTGTGACAGAGATGAGTCCTGTCCAGCCTCGCCCTGGACTAGTCCCCTTCCCCTGAGCAGAGCCCTTTGCTGCTCTTCCCTCTGTGCGGGTCCCCTGCAGAAGCTCTTTGGCAGCGGCCACAGCTGTGGTGAGCAAAGGCTCCTCCCTCTGCTATGGCCCCGGGGCCTCCGCATCCCACAGGGTCCACTGGACATGCGAGGGGCTCCGCAGGAGCAGGAGGCTGTGGCAAGTGGCCCAGCCTCCACTTTCTCTGCCACCAGGCAAGTGGCAGAAGTCTTCCCACGGTGTGGGCTGATGTGAACTGGCTGAAACTGTGGACGTGAGTGTGAAGCGTCTGGCACTGTGCCCGGCACCACCCAATAACTGGGATAAGGCACTGCCCACCCCGGAGGCCAGCAGCCCATCAGAGACAGATGCGTGAGCAGCAGCCACGTTCATCTGCCCCTCCCCACCCCTGCAGGTTCCACATCTGCAGATCCCACCAGCCACACACCTAAACTATTAAGAAAAATAGCTGGTGGTGGTGCACACCTGGAATCCCAGCAGCTGGGGAGGCTGAGGCAGGAGGATGGCAAGTTCCAGACCAGCCTCAGCAACTGAGCAAGACTCTGTCTAAAAATAAAAATAAAAGGGCTGGAGACGTGGCTCATGGGTAAAACACCCCTCAGTTCTATCCCCATATGTCACTCCACCTAAAAAATTCAGAAAAGTAATTTCATCTATAATGAATATGGTAGGGGCTATTTTTTCTTGTCACTATTCCCCATATAATATGGTATAACAACCAGGAACACAGCATTTACGTTGTATTAGAAAACAGAACTCCCGCAGAGAGGATTTAAAGTATACAGAGGATGCAAATACCATGCCATTTTATACAGGGACTTGAGCATCCTCGGATTTGGGTAGCTGAGTGGGGAGGGGTGTCTTGGAACCAATCCCTGACAGCACAGAGGGGCACGTGTGTAAGGAAGGTGGACAACCCAGCCCTGGATGGCAAAGCAGTCTGACCTGGTGCATGGTATCCATTGACTCTTTTTTTGGTGCCAGGGATTGAACCCAGGGACACTAGGCCATTGAGCCACATCCCCGCCCTTTTTACTTCTGACTTTGAGACAAGGTCTCACTGAGTTGCTTAGAGCCTCTCTAAGTTCCTGAGGCTGGTTTGAACTCAAGATCCTCCTGCTTCAGCCTCCTGAGTGGCTGGGATTACAGGCTTGCGCCCAGCTCCATGACTTTTTAAAAATAATTTTTAAAAAAAAATGATGTTGATAGACCTTTATTTTATTCATTTATTTCTGTGCGGTGCTGAGAATTGAACTCAGGGCCTCACATGTGCTAGGCAAGTGCTCTACCACCGAGCCACAACCGCAGTCCCTCCATTGATTCTTGAAAGAAGTGGACTGGGCTGATCAGCAGGCCAAAGGGTGACGGAGCAGCTCTCCAGGGCGAGGAGGAGTGTGTGCCCAGCCCAGAGGGTGCTGAAGCAAATGCAGGACCTCCCCATGA